TTTTAACAGTTGCATGAAATCTGAGCTAGAAATCTGGAACCAATTACTAGGAGGAGAACAGATAAAATGATACTTAAAAGATAATAAACATAGGGTCAGAATTAGCGCTTTGGGGTAAGAATCATTCTTTAGCAAAAATTTTAAAATAATTTTAAGATAGTTTTAGAATCTATTTCAACTCTAAACAAATTGTCTCTAAGTTATTTCTGACACCTTTCAGAGTTGTTCCTATCATTTTAGAACTTTCAGCTTTTACATTTCCAACCTTAAAATCCACAGCTATTTTAGCATTGGCTAGGCAAGTTGTGTTATGCCCCCTGGTGGCAACATGGATAAGAAGATGAGAGGCATATTTCAATCAAAGGGAAGGGGAAAGCCAACTTAATTGAAATAGGTGGCAGGCCCTGACTTTGAAATGGAATTCCATATAAAACTTTTCTGGTCTTACTAAAAATAGAAAACATCCTGTTAAACTAAAATCAGATGTATTAACTCTAGCCTGAGAGGTGCATATTTCAATTTCCCTTGCTTTGTCATAAAATGGATTAGATCCTTGAAATATGTCAGTTGAACTTGAAATTAAATATTTGCTCTACATACAGCTAAGTAGCTGAACTTATAAAAGATACTAGTCTGTCTGCACAGTATTTCCTTTAAAATCAGGCCTCAGCACATGCAACATACACATGATATCATTTGCTTCTTGTTAATTTCCCTGTATTAATGAACTTTAAAAGGTTACATGGCCCACATAGTCATTTTCAAGAAGCCTCTGAAAAAAAATTCTAAATTTTATAAACTACTCTTCAATCAAAATAGTCAAATATAGGTTTTAATGTGTACTGTACTGAGGGCCTGTTGAACAAAGCTTTTTACCTGTTTGGGGGCAAAAACAGATGAGAAAGAAGATATCAAACTACTAGAACATATGTTGATATTTAGCATGAGGAAACGTATAAAAGATAAGCGTTTCTCGCTGAATTAATATAAACATGGTCTCAATGGCTATATCATTTGGTCACAGGAGAGAAAAATGGCTATTCCTTAAGCAAACATTTAAGTGACAAGGTACTCAGTACTATGCCCGACTAGAAATACTGCTACAGATGTAGTCAGTGGCCTCAAGAAATTCAAAATCTAGCCAGCTAGAAAACATGTTTAATAAAATTACAATATAACACAAATTATAGTGAAATAACAAAAAAAAGAAAAAAACTGATAGTTAAAAAAAGTATTACAACTGAGTGTTGAC